TGTTGTAGCAGTATTAGTAGTAGTAGTAGTATTAGTAGTAGTAGTAGTAGTAGAAGTAGCAGTAGTAGTAGTAGTAGTAGTAGTAGAAGTAGCAGTAGTAGTAGTAGTAGTAGTAGTAGTAGTAGTAGTAGTAGTAGAAGTAGTAGTAGTAACACTGATAGTAGTGGTAGTAGTGATAGTAGTACTATAAGTAGTAACAGTAGCAGCAGTTGAAGTGGTAGGAGGAGGAGGAGGAGGAGGGGGTGAGCCATTGCTAAATTAAAGATTCGGACGATGGACGGTATACATCTGTTCGGTACATATAGCATGTTCTCATCTGTATGGAATGCGTTGTCCGTACATTCATTCCCTAGTCGTTTTAAACGTGCGTAAATATATTTTGTTGGCTATTTTCTCTATATTTCCCTATATTTTATAGAATTTATTACAAAACAAGACTGTTTTCTTCTTCTAAAGAACGGAAAGTATGTTTTAAAATACATATATATACATTTAATAGGCTATATGATCTGGAATAGAAGATAGATGAAAAAATATGTATTCAGAGTTTTTTTTTAAAATATATTTTCTGTGGGTTTTTTTTCCCGCAAATAGTTCTACACTTTTTTATTTTGACTAGGGTAAGCGCTCTTCTAGTTGCCGGAAACTACCTACTTGCATGTTGAAAAACATTATCAATGCAAGCCAGTCTAATTAACTTTTAAAAGTAGGTTATGTATTCAACGCCCTACATTCCAATCATATTCAATGTTATTTCTATGTCACATTTTACGTCATCTTTTATCCTGGTGAAATATTTTTCGTTCCACGGTACCCCAATATCAACGGGGATTCAGCTCATTGTTCCCTTATTAGGCTAATCCGTTGCGTATGAAATAGCTGTTAAAGGTAAAGACCAGTATTGGAAACGCCCCAATTTCTAAAAATGAAATGGAAGCTCTTATTACCAATCATGTGAAAGAATATGTTTTGATTAATACATGATGATACAAATTTTGCCGGGAAACCGCCTACTAATTGATATATTTGGTAAATTAGTATATCTATTGGTGTGTGAGAGATATAGGGTAGTCCCATATACATCTTTCTGTGTATAGTGCTTGTAACTTTACGAAGAATGGGCCAAATTTCTTATCATTTTGATGATTCCAGAACCTTGCAGTACACACCAATACTTATATGCTAGATGATCAACCTTTTCTGATCGATTCCACAACGTTTCTTTCACATGCAATCGCATGACCATTACTGGTCTTTACCTTTAAACCTATACAGCAATACCAAATACAAATCTGCCGTGCTTAAATGATGATAATTAAGGTAAAGTTGAGTCCTGGTCAGGCTTTTGCATTGCGAAAAAAAATTGTGGAAGCAGTTCGAAAAGATTAGACATATGTAGCACATAAAATACCATGGGATTTGGAATCATTAAAATTATAAGAAATTGACTCGTTCAGGCTGTAAGTCACAGTCATACACTGTGTTTATACAAATGTGTATATGGGATTACACAAACACGTGGCATGAGTCTGATCCAACAACGTATACCTATTACTTGTCATATTTCGAATTATGAGGGCATTTGAATAGCCATCCTTTTCAAAGGACATTTTCTTTTCTATGATACTTTGGCAAGACATTGATCTACATTTGCCACACTCAACCCAGGTGATGTAAATGGACGTACCTGGCAGGAATTAATTCCTTGAAATGCTAGAGCGCCGCAGTGGCTGCCTTGCTAATTAAAGCCAGGGTAATAATCGGGGCAGCGCCAGGAGCGTCACAACGTGACGGACATGTGCGCTATATAAGAAGCCACCATTATTATTATTATTATTATTAAAAAAAGACTGAAAAAGCTTGCAAAAATACCCATTTCACCCCGTCTTAATTTTGGAAATGCTCTTTTGTTCAACTTACCTCAAAATCAGCTTGTACGATTATAAAAATTACAGAAGCCATCATATTAATTAATCAAAGCGGCTTGCAAGGAGGTCACAATCAATTAGACTTTTTGTTGTTGTTGCTTTGCCTCACTTTTCTAAAGGCAAACAAATGGGAAGAAATGATAACTGGGATTCGACCCCACTACTCATCTTATCTTGGATTATCTTCCCGGTTATCTTACCCAGAACTTACCGAGTGAGCCAACCATGGCCTCTGCTACAGACGGACTAATAATGAGAGTCTTTCTTTGATCACATCATACTTGATACTTGATGAGGTAATCCCTGAAGCAGCTTTTCCAAGCTATACTGGGATGGGATGTGTTGTGACAGCAGGTGAAGGTGCATAAAACAAAAGGGTGTACAATTACTTTATACAGTAAAACAGTGACGTGCAAGTAAAAAAAAAAAAATCATGCTGCTATATGATTTGCAGCATTCTGGAACCTACAGCAGGTTCCAACCCTCTGATGACAGGGAGGGCGGTCATCTGGAAAGCAGCAACTGTTGGGGCAGTAACTGCAGTGAATGGTAGTTGATTCAGATGCGAATGGTGCGGGGGTAAAATGAGTACTTGTAGGAGTCTATTGTTGCCTCAGGAACAGAGAGCTTGAGTGTGTGGTCTCTTCTGCTGATGTATGTAGCTTTGGTTATGAGGTGAGGAAGACAAATGTTGACTAGCTGGTGGTGTATTTTAAAGAGCATGGTGCTTTGTGCTAGAAGACGACGTGTGTGCAGTTTATCCCATCCCAGCTGGGAAACAAGCCCTGTAGTTGACGTGGATCTTCGGTAGTCGCGGAAGACAAAACGAGCAGCTGTTTTCTGTACCATTTCCAGACCTTCGGCAGCAACAGAAGTGTGGGGGTTCATTCAAGGCTTCAGCGCCATACTCTAGCTGCGGTCGAACCAGGGCTGTGTATGCTCTTGACTTTACATCCTTAGTGCACCGCCGCCACCTGATATCAGGGACTTTTAGATTCGCACGAAGACAATGTGGATTGCTACGGTCGACGTCCTTATATGCACTGCCTTAAAAGGACGTTACACGTATAATCTAAAAGTCCCTAATGTGTATGTTGATGAGGACATTCATTTGACGCGACAATGTTCATTATGTAATCACGCATCATCACAGACAAAAGAACTTTTACATTTTTTCAGATTCGTTTCGCTGGGCCAGGGCCCAGAGTGTAGTTTCAGGAAAAGTACCGTGATTTAAGACCAGTAAGAGGAGCAGTAAACCCCAAATTATGACATTTTGTGTGATATTAGATTGATTATTAAAGAATTGGACACTGGTGGACATACATCTGAACGGTACAACGAATCGTCTTCTTTCTCTAATAATTTAATGAAGTGTCAAAGCTTCCGCGCTTCGCGCGGGAGGGAGGGGGGAACTGAAAAAAACTTAGTTTCTGGCTCCGGAGTTTAGGGTTACATTTATGTACATTGGGACATTGGCATTAATATATTTGTCGGTAATTGGTGGCTAGTTTTGTCGGTAATCGGTAGCCTCAACAGTCTACCCCCCCCCCCCTTCCCCACTGAAAAAGGTCTAGCGACGCCCCTAATAACAACACAGTTTATACACACGATATATTTTTTGCAAGTACTATTGGTGAAGTACCGGACCACCGTCTTTGTGCATTATGCAGTAACGAAGCACGATGTTACAGATCACTTTCTCTAACTTCTAACCAATCAGAAGGCCTCGTTTTTCCCCAGAAAGTGCCAGTGGACATTAATGCGCCAAATGTGGTTCTCAATTTGCAAAGGATCCCTTCTCTTGGAGGGGGAAGAAGAAAGCAATTTTACGTCATAATTATTACTCCAGGGAGTGGCTGAAAATGCGTCTAATGTGGTTCTAAAATTGCAAATGCTTCCTACTCGGGGAGGCGGTCAGAACCCCCTCCAAGACCCACCCCCGCTTGGTCGTTCCGATCCCTCGCCGCTAAAAGCCTCGCTCTGTCGCTTCATCGTTGTACATATATTTCACCCCTGCCATTTGTGCCACCCCCCCCCCCCCGGGAAGAAATTTGATGCCCATACCCCTTGAGCTTCGGGGGCTCCGCCCCTTGACCCCCGCCGTGGCTTTGCCCCTAGACCCCACTTTGAAAAACGTTCTGCAGGGCCTGCATGTACGAGTGGGGGTGATGAGGAGTTTTTGTCTCCCCCCCCCCCAATCATCACGCTCATCACGCCACTGCCTTACTACCAAACCCAAACAAAACGCACTACCATCCCCCTAAAAAAAAACACGCACACACACATACAGACTTATACATGATACATGTATAAGGAAGACGAAGCAGAGAACTTGGGAAACATATAGAGAAAGGAAGAAATTTGAGAGAGAGGGAGGGGAGAGAGGAGAAAGAGAGAGAGAGAAAGAGGGGGGAGGGGAGAGGGGGGGGGGGGGGGGGAGAGAGAGGGAGAGAGAAAGAGGGAAAAAGAGAGAGATGGAGAGACCACAATAAATTTGGAATGCAACACAATAAAAACTTGCATATAGGCCTATGATCCCCTTATAACAGAGACGATGAAAAATATTGTGGAATCCGGAAAGATAGTAAATCTGTTAGGCAGCTCATTGTAAACAGGGAGCTTTGAAAATTAAACGAACGTTCCATTCTTTTGCGTTTGGGTTAGCCGGACAAAGAACAGACGACATTCGTATGCTATTGTTGTCTGAGTTTGGGACGGATAAAATTATTTTGAAAGTCTTTGTGTTTCCTGATAAGTGTTGTGATCCTTGCTCTGACAAAAGTTTATGCTTATTTTTTTATCTTTACATTTGTAATATCCCCAATAACTCCCCCCCCCCCCCACACACACACACACAGAAGAAGAAGAAGAAGAAGAAGATGAAGAAGAAGAAGAAGAAGAAGAAGATGAAGAAGAAGAAGAAGAAGAAGAAGAAGAAATAGAAAAAGAAGACAAAGAAGAAGAAGATGATGATGAAGAAAGAAGGAGAAGGTGGAGAAGATGAAGAATGTAAATTTCAATGTGTACTTAACAAGGTTAAACAAGAAATATGCAACGACACCATGCAAATTATGTAAATTCTCAAATTTAATTTCTACAGATGACTACATGTTTTTGTGTTTTTTACACTGTAAAGCACATAAATAAATGAACTACGTCTGAATGACATGGGTAAAGACTGGTTTAGCAATGACAAAAAGAATGTACTCCGGCTCCAAAGCTTTTCAATTTGGGCAGACATATACCCTAAACCGATCAAATGTACGGAATTTGGAGCCTATGATCATAGCAACAACACAACATTACAACAAGGATCTGCATTAGCCCCATTCCCTTGTAGCATTCCGTTTTGTTAATACTGCTGAAAAAAAAATATGTTGGATGTTTGAAAATCTTTGCCTGTACTATTTTGCTTGTTACACTTCATTACTTTAATCTATTTCATTTTTAAAAATACATTTTGATTAGCTTGTCCATTATTATATATCTTCAAGTTAGTTAATAATCTTACTATTTATTAATTGCAAACTATGTCGAAAATTGTCAGGAAATGCCGTGTAACAAACATGCGAGTTAAACAATGTTTCGAATCTGGGGGCTTACTGCAGTAGGCCGTTTCATTGGTGCGGATGTTGGGCTAGCAGGTTTACCCGTCCAATCGTCGATACTCGTATTGGTTTTTGTAAAAACACAAAAACGCCAAAAAGGTATGGATTAAATGGAGGGGGTGATTAGAGTCATTGATTTCAAATCACCTTGAAATTAATAATGTTCGATCATGATTTGGTTTTAGTATATAAAGCCGTACAGATCCTGACAGAATGAATACAGATGTGATCCATGTAATCATGCAATGGAGACAATAAGCCATCAATGTAGGTTGCTCTCTACGTCTAATCACACACAAAAAGTGTGGACCACGGTCATAAAAAGACACTTTGGAGATAGCATTTAATGATCCACAAATATCCACAGATGTTTTACACACGTTCTGTGCATTATTGTGGTTAAAACGCAAAAGCACTACAGATCCAAAGCTTACAGTACTGTTCTAGAGTCATGAAAACTTTTGATTGAAAATAATTTCTCCATTGCTGCTTATAAGCAGCAATGGAGAAATTATTTTTTATATAATTATTTTAATTTTTCAAAAGGCCTACTTCATTATCAGATTGAAAACAATAAATGTGACATAATTTTAAAAAGGAAAACGTTGAACTAAAAACATTCAAATGCCATATATATACACCAGGGCCCGTATTCAATTCAATACTTAAGTACAGAATTTAAGCTTTTTATCTAGTATTAGGCTTAGATAAAATACTTAGCCAATTCTGGTATTTAATTCAAACTTTTGGCTAAGTATTTTACCCTATATTTAAGTCAACTCCTTACCAGACTTAAGCCAATTATTTGGAGGCCTTGATTTTCTTACGCAGTATTATAACCTGCGCACAATTATATCAGCGCGCATTTATTAATACTAGATAAGTAAATTACTTAACTTAGCCATTTAATTATGCTAAGTATTGAATTGAATACCGGCCCAGGCTTCGAGAGGAGAGGACGGAGTATCCGACAACATTTGATGGATTTTTTTTAAATAGAAAAAACGGAATATGCACAGAAAAAAATACCAACAATTTATTTACTAATATCTAGATGACAAGCATGAATAGTTATTGCCTCAAACAAATACAAAGTCGCGCAGAAAAATTTCTCCCTGTAACCGTGTGACTACGTAAAATAGCATTGTTATTAGCTAAGGTGATTGGATTTCACGACATCATATTATCTTTTTGTTTCTTAATTGTTAGATTTGGGAAGGGAAAGTGAAAGAGAGTTTCCTACTATGAATGAAGTTATCTACACTATGTAAAAAAAAAGTGAATGAAAAATTACAAAAGTATGAACGTTCATGTTTCCATTTTCTCGTCAGTACCCTCATCAGGCTTGTTAGCTGGAACCTTACACGGTGTCTTCGTCTTTGCACCAGTCTTAGTTCCACCAGCGGCCTCTGCTCCCTCACCTACCATTCACATAAAATAATAATATATAGAACATTTAGAAGATAGTTCGAATAAAGGGAAAGTCCACTCTGATATAAAGTTGGTTTTAATAGAAGCAGAAAGATGACAGGAATAGGTCAGTGAAAAGTCAGTGAGCAAATTCCGATTAAAAATAAGAAATTATGTATTTTTATTATTATGTAGTTGCGATCAATCAAACCCTAATTGGCAACTCTGTGACATATTTTGTGAGGTCCCTTCCTGTTTGATCTGTACAAAAAAAGAAAATTATTGATGATAAGATAAATAAGCTGTTACATTCCCTGATAACGCATTATGTTTCCTCATTGCCCATATTGCCACCACAGGCGCGTACGCAGGAGGAGGGGTTGGGGTCAACCCCCCCTCATTTTTTTTAGTGTTTCTTTTTTTTAATTAAAAAAAAGGGGGAAAAGGTTATGCTAATGGATGACCTAAAAAAGGTGACCTTACCCCACCACCCCCCCCCCCCCCCCTCCTACGGATCGAAATGTCAATCGGTCCAATTTTCAAATTTCGGGACAATTTTTTTTTTTTGCTCTTCCCTTCATGTCTCTTTTATTTAATTTAGTTATTGCTCAACGGGGGGGGGGGGGCTAATGGAGCTCTATTTGTTTTAATCAACACCCCCCCCTATTGGAACAACACAAAATAATATACATTTTCCTACTTTCTTTTATTACAAGGCGGGTCGTCTCTTCTTTTTTAAAGGTAAAAATCACGTTATCATCTTTAAAAAAAAAAAAACAACAATTTTTGGGGCCTAGGGAGGGGGCCCGGGCCCCCGCCTATGTACTCTCTGCTGCATTGCTCGGCTGAAAGCGACAAATCGCCTTTTTGTGATAGTGGAAAGTTCTGGTTGTCTCATAAAGCTTGTGAAAGGAATAGAAAATTGTGAATAATTATGATTACCTGGTGTGCCACAAGGAGGGCTCGGGAGGGATATAGGTGAGTCATTGAGGGTTTCTGCGTCTGACGGGACAAGAGTTATAAACTTCTCTAATTCTGGAGAAAATGAAACAAGAATATTTGTTACGGTTTATGAAAAAAATACTGATTTTCTTTCTCTCCTGTCTATATCTCTCGAACTATAATTTGTTTTCTTTCGCACTCCGCTTTCATCCTCTCTCTCTCTCTCTCTCCCTCTCTCACTCTCCCTCTCTCTCTCTCTCTCTGTCTTTTTCTCTTTCCTTCCTTTTTTCTAAGGGTATATATTTAATATAATTGTGTTCACCCTCTTTGCATATGATGCCAATACAGTTTTAAAAATGTCAATTATTACAATTTTCAAGATTTGTGAGGTCGGAGTGCGAAAAATTACATCTTTACAAGAGGAAAAAACCCAATCCTGATGGGGTTTTAACCACAATCTATTATTGTGAGGGAGCGTAGCGAGCAAGCTTTGGGGGAGGGGATTAAAGAAAAAGTTGCTTTTAGGCGCTTTAAATTAGGGGCACATGTTATGGAAAAAGGAATAAGGAGCACTTATTAGAAAGACACTTATTACAGTATAAAAGAAAAGGAGCATATGTCAAGGTAAAAAGGATAGTTTTCAATGGTGAAAATGGGGCTCTTTTCGCACCTGACTGGGGCACACACCAGAGATTAACAATGACACTAATGATAATGGAAAATGGGCATTTGTCGAAGGAAAAGGGAACCTATAAGATTTTGATATGGGCAATTATCAAAGGTAAAAAGTGGCATTTTTGAAAAGGGGAAGGGGCTGTTATAAAAAAAGAAAAGGGGTCCTCATTAGAACGAAAAAGGGTGCATGTTCAAGAGACGCTTATAAGAGGTAAAACTAGATGGAATTTTGACTGCGCGCAGTCGAAAATGATGCCTCCGCCATAGAGCAATTTAAACAAGTTTGGAGTTTAAATCTCCAGTGGTTCTTGAGATATCATGATAACAATCTCAATGTATGGAATTTCATAAGTTGACCTCTGTGACCCTTGACCTTTGACCTACGTGCTCCAAAATCTAATCAGATTGTCTTCCTATGGTGATACACACTATCATTAAGTTTGAAGTTTAAATCTCCAGTGGTTCTTGAGATATTATGATATGGTGATACATACTATCATTAAGTTTGAAGTGAAAATTCTCCAGTGGTTCTTGAGATATCGCGATAACGATCTCAATGTATGGAATTTCATAAGTTGACCTCTGTGACCCTTGACCTTTGACCTACGTGCTCCAAAATCTAATCAGATTGTCTTCCTATGGTGATACACACTATCATTAAGTTTGAAGTTTAAATCTCCAGTGGTTCTTGAGATATTATGATAACAATCTCAATGTATGGAATTTCATAAGTTGACCTCTGTGACCCTTGACCTTTGACCTACGTGCTCCAAAATCTAATCAGATCGTCTTCCTATGGTGATACATACTATCCTTAAGTTTGAAGTTTTTACATCTCCAGTGGTTCTTGATATATCATGATAACAATCTCAATGTATGGAATTTCATAAGTTGACCTCTATGACCCTTGACTTTTGACCTACGTGCTCCAAAATGTAATCAGATTGTTTTCCTATAGTGATACACACTATCACTAAGTTTGAAGTTTAAATCTCCAGTGGTTCTTGAGATATCATGATAACAATCTCAATGTATGGAATTTCATAAGTTGACCTCTGTGACCCTTGACCTTTGACATACGTGCTCCAAAATCTAATCAGATCGTCTTCCTATGGTGATACATACTATCCTTAAGTTTGAAGTTTAAATCTCAAATGGTTCTTGAGATATCGCGCTAACAAACTCAATACAAGGAATTTCATAAGTTGACCTCTGTGACCTGTGACCTTTGACCTACGTACTCCAAAATCTAATCAGATCGTCTTCCTATGGTGATAAATACTATTCCCGAGTCTTAAGTTTAAATCTTAAATGGTTCTTGAGATATTGTGATAACGGTCAAACGGGACGGACGTACGGACGGACGGACAACCCGAAAACATGATGCCTCCGGCACCACCTTCGGTGGCGGAGGCATAAAAAGGGGACATTTATGAGAAAGGAAAAGGAAAAGGGACACATATCAACAGATAAAAGGGCACTTATTAAAATTAGAAAGAAAAAGGGGACGCGTGTCAAAGTAATACAAAAGGGCAATTATCAGATGTGACACTAATAAAAAATGGAAAATTGGCACTTCTTATTACGGAATAGGGGCATGTATTGAAGAAAAAGGGGCAACTGTCAGATTTGAATATGGTGTAATTATACAAATTGTAAAGGGGTACGTAGAAGAATAAAAAGCATGATGGACTTTGTTTTTAGCTCAGTATTTTTTTATCATCACTATGTGGTCGTTTCCGTTATAAATTAACATACTAAATAATAATCTACAAACCTGCTTTGATGTCATTAGCATAGTCCCCCAATCCATTCTTTAGAAATCTCTTTCTTAGATTCTGGGCACTTTCACTCTTCCGTCCATGTCTCAAAACAAACTTGGACAAGAGAGTATTGTATGAGCTACTTGGATTCATACTGTTAATGGCCCCCATCGCTGCAGCTTGGCCCTCGGCTGCGGTGAATCCCAGGTATGTGCTGAAGTCGACTGCGGTGACATTCACAATCGAAATCTTTTTTGACAATCTCACCAGAAATAAGTCAGTCAAAATGTCATCCAAACTGTCATCCATCACAAGTTGCGAAGTACTGACGCTAGAAGAAAAGAAATACATATTTAAAATGTAATAATAGAATAACGTTATGATTTAAATAAACGCATGAATGAATACATTTTTACTCAAACATAATTTTATTCTTATGTTCAGAACAACAAAAAAGCAGTAACTAAAAAAAAAGTTAACACCCTTCTCGTCCCGAACAGACAATTGTTAAAATGCTGTGAGAATCATTTGCTAGAATATGTCTGACATAGCAACATAATATTTTATGCTGTGATTTGAAATGTGGTATTTTGTGAAATCAATTTGGAGCAATGCTAGAGCTTAAGGCATGGTGATAATAATCATCGTCTATTGTAGGATGTGGTTGTGCAACCGCCCTCAGGTTTGCCGAATTCATCTTCATGGTGTGATGTCACAGGAAACACTGTCAGATTCGGTAGGGTCTGGAATCTAGTTGATTCTTAGGGGCGGCAGTTGCACAATCGGGGGGATGCTTTTAATGAATTCATAAAGACCAAGCACTCAATAAAGTCCGGATTGGAAGTGATTGACAAAAATCTACGATCTAAGCTTGATGCACCATTTCAAGAGTGTTTACTCTTCCTCCAGATCGCCACCAGCGTAGCTTAAGGGCGATGTGACCCAGCCCCTCACTCTCCCCTTTCCCTTCCCCTCCCCTCATTCTCTCTCTCTCTCTCTCTCTCTCTATATATATATATATACATTTGTATATATCTCGCCATAATGCTTTTGGGGGAACTACAAATGGTACAAGCCCACTGTACACTATACGATCCGTATACGATTCGATTTGTGTAGAACTTTGCAATATCATTGAATATGAATCCAAGCCTTCATAATATTCTTGATTGAGATTCCAATAATCATATGCATTCAAGTGGGATCTTTAAGTCAGATGTGGGGGGGGGGGGGTGACAAAATCAGTTACAATTCAGAAGTAGTCTTGCCACTGCAGTGCACTTGTCTGACGTCACTGTGATTGCACTGTGGTTTTCAAAGTGCCTTCATAATTCCGATCCTGCTATCCACATAACTTTTGGAAAAGATCTTATTTTTTCAGATTATCATTCCTAAAGATATTGTAAATTTCTGCATTAATCCGCTAAAAGTCTAAATGCATAATTTTGGACTGACTTATAAACATAACAACAACAAAAAAATCAATTAATGTATGACAAAATAAAACTTATATCTCAAAGTATGGTAAGCTGGGAATTCTTACAGGGGTGGCACTCGGGGGGGGGGGAAGGGGCAAAGTGCCCCCACCACTTTTTCAAGTACCCAAAAAGTGCCCCTTTCTACATACTAAGTGCCCCTTTAACTTTGTAAGAAGTGCCCCTTTTACATCATAGTGCCCCTTTTACTATGACAAGTGCCATATTTATTTCTAAAAGTGCCCCTTCCCCTTTCCATTCTCATAAGTGCCTTCTTAAATCTCTATTAAGTTCCCTTTTTCAGGTATGAAAAACGCCCCTTTCACTTTTGATAAGCGCCCCCTTCACCTCTGACAATTGCCCTACTCAAATCTGAGAGGTTCCCCTTTTGCTTTTATAAGGTCCCCTTTTCCTTTGCAAAAAGTGCCCCTTCCCCTTTTAAAACTACCCGTGTTTATTGTGGATAAGCGCACCTTATATTTTCACATGTGCCCCCTTTCCTTTTTAATAAGTGCCCCTTTTTCTTATGATAAGTGCCCCCATTTAAAAAAGAGCCCCTTTCCATTCTCATAAATGCCCCTTTTCATTCCTGTAAGTGCCCCTTTTCATCTTTTGTAAATGACCCTATTCAATTCTGAGAGATACTCATTTTACCTTGAATAATGCCACTTCCCCTTCTGATAAGTGCTCTTTTCATCTTTTATACATGCCCCTTTTATTTTGACACGTCCACCCTTTTATTTCTAATAAATGCTATTTTTCCTTTTTATAAGTGCCCGTCCCCCTTCTCATAATTAACCCTTTTCATCTTTGTTATTAAAGTGCCCCGTTTATTTTAACATGTGCCTCTTTTTCTTTTTAATAAGGGCCACTTCCCCCCCCCCCCTTCTCATAAAAGCCCCCTTTCACCTCCGATAAATGCCTCTATTAAAATCTGATCTGTGCCCTTTTTCTTTCAACAAATACACATTGCCCTTTATCATTAGTGCCTCTTTTTCATCCTCATAAGTGCCTCTTTTCATGTGTGGTCAGTGCCCCTTTTCAGATGCAATAAGTGCCCATTTCACCTCTGATAATTACCCTTTTAACAATGATATGTGCCCCTTTTACTTTTCTGATAAGGAACCTATCCCTTATTTATAAATGCCCCTTTTCACTTCTTATAAATGCTCCTATCAAAATCTGATGGGTGCCTTTTTCCCGTCGACAATTGCCCATTTCCTATTCTCATAAAATCCCTTTTCATTCCAGATGCGCGCCTCTTTTTTTAAGGTGTAAGAAGTGCCCCATTTTCACCTCTCATAATTAGCCTTTGTACTGTGACATGTAAGTGCTTCTTTTCTAATAAGTGTCCCCTTTTCCTCTCATCATTAAAACGTGCCCCTAATTTCAAGCGACTAGAAGCAATTTCCCCCAAAGCTCGCTCGCCACATTCGCTTGTACTTATAGATGTTATAATTATGTAACTTATCAAAGGTTTATTCAGTCTTCCGTTATGAGAATGTGCGTATAACCCCATAGGGATTGTTTTTTCCCCCTCTTTATAAGATGTTATTTTTCGCACTGCCACCTCACAAATCTTTAAAATTTTCCTCGCTCGCAAATGAATTTTCAGACCATCGCACCCAACTGCAAAGTATGATGCTTAAGCTATATTTCATTATGATGTATAAAGAGAAACAAATATTTAAACTGTCTCTGATAATGTAATCACAATATAAGGGTATATACCAATGTCTAAAAAATTGTATATTTTCGCTTTGAGATTTCCCTTTAAAGGTACCCTTTTTTCAAGAAAGTGCCCTTTTTGTTGGTGTCCCCCCCCCCCTCCACTTTGGAAGTCACTCCGCCGCCTCTGGCTGGAAAGATGATCGCAAAGGCTTTCGAGATATAAATCCTAGGCGAATTCAGTAGCCTTGTCCATTACATTTGGAACCCGTACGCGCACTACATGGCACCCATACGATGCTTGGTGCAGAAGTTGCTTCCAGGTTCCTAGTATAATGCGTTATCAGTACATTTTGAATACAAAATATATTAATATTGCACTTTACCCCTCACATCATCAGTTCATAAACAGTACAAAACCTTTACCATTTTATTATTTCTATGAAACGTATTTCACATGGATGTTAGAACCATACAGTCATGATGTCATGGTTCCACAGCGCCGTCGATCTTTAGAGCTCTCGGCCTCGTGTCCTTTAAAGCCCATCTGTACTAGTGTACAGGAGGGATTATACCACCCTTTTGTCCGCTTTCTTTGTCAGACATGTTCATAGTGAAGGTCACTGGACGGGTGGTTATCTCATCAAATCACCTCTCAATTAACATAAGAAAAGAGGATCATGGGGGACGTAAAGGTCACCGATTATGCATTGTTTATTATATAGAAGGCGCAAGTAGCTACAAGTAGTGCAGTGGGGCTTTAAGTCTTAATGGCAATATTAAGCATTCCAACCGACAAGCAAATCGGTTGCATAGAAAGAAAAATTCGGTCAAACCTGACGTAATACTTCCAAACATAAATATGATGACATCGAGCAGACACACGTCACGCTTCGCCGTGCAACAATCCAGCAAACACACAGGCCCGAATTCACAAAGGAGGTTATGTACGTCATACGACGCGTTTCGACGCGTTTTTACAAACCTTGGTTTGTAAAAAACAAAAGGAGGTTTGTCGAAACAAAAGGAGGTTTGTCGACAAACCTCCTTTGTGAATTCGGGCCATAACGTTCTTAAAACGTCCCGAAGACAATAAAAAAAGTGTATATGAAACGCTAATTTGGACGCTAACAACGTGTTGTGTTTGCCATGGCTCCTGCCTAAATTATAGGGTAATAAGCTATTAACAAACCCATTACATACTCACAATTATTTTCTTAAAGTGTTGAAAATGTCACCAAAGCTGTTTAGAAATTAGCCGATATGCTATTCGGACTCTGCATGACATCTGGAGTTATTGCTTATAGAATTGTATTGATATAATTATAGTCAATGTACTTTGATCCAATAATAAACAACCGTGATATCAGCCTGTGCCTGTATAGATCTTGTTTATTGAAATATTTGTGAACAGTGGATTTGTTTGTTAGCGCAGATCATGTTATGCACCTCATAATGAAGTATCGATATTAGAATCTACATTTCTATTTTTCAGATTTTATACGTGATTTATGTGGCCTGTTATGTTATAGTCGACAAATATTGAAAAAGCAATTTGCCAACAAGGTATAACATGATTGCAAATTACTTTCAAGAAGTTAACTCAAGAGTTGTCCCAATGCCTTACTGCACTGTCCATTATAAAACATGAGCGACAATATTCAAGCAATCTAATAAATCATAGCAACAGTTATATGTGTGTCATCTTTAATCGAGCGGCGTCATCTTCGCCCTGGACTTCGCTAACCTGGCCTTACTCTCCAGATGCCCATTACTCATCTCAAGGGATATGGAGACCGGGCATTTTCCTCTATTGCTCTTCGCCTGTGGAATTCCCTCCCATCATCTATTCGCGAAGTTGACAACCTGGACCACTTCAAAGCTTCACTCAAAACTCACATCTTCCTTCAGACATTTAAATGCTAATTTTATTGGAGGAGCTCGCGCCTTTGAATGTTCTTTTTAAGAGATATATGGCGCCATACAAATGCTGTTCATCATCATCATCATCATCATCATATGACTATTAATTTGAGAACGATTCGAATGATTCGACTACTTAGAATTCATTGATTGATTTCCCTTAACATAAATTATTCATCCATTTAATCATGAGTTCACTTGACTCAATATTAACTTAACCCATAACTCCATGAATATCTAACGGATCAAACAAAAAGTGCAGACT